TGTTTGTTTTTTTTTTTTTTTTGACATAATTTTCCAATATTTATTTTTTTTCCTATTTTCAAGCCAATTTCTAATATGTTTTTAAAAAATTATTACTAGTCCGACCATGTTTGTTTCAAACAAAGTCTTCAAGTGTTTTTTTTTTTAATTTGTTTTCAAATTGTTTTTTTTCTAAACCAATTTCTAATATATTTTTAAATGTTATTGTCGTTCTATTCCAAGTATGTTTTGAATAAAATTTTTAAATGTTTTCTTCATTAATTATTATTTTTTTTTTCCAAATAGAGTTTTTAATTGTTTCAAAAAAATATTGCTCACCTAGTCTTATTTGTTGCAAACAAAATTTTCAAATAACCATCTAATTCATTGTTGAAATATTCTTAAGCAAAATTCTAAACTATTTTTTTAAAACTCTATTGTAGGCTTAATCCTATTTTGGTTTTGAATAGAGTTTTTAAATGTTTTTTTTAATTTGTTTTTTATTTTTCCCTAGTTGTTTTCAAGAAAACTTGAATTGTTTTCTATTTATATTCACTTTTAACCTAATCCTCGTTTGTTTTTTAAAATAGTTTTTTTTTTCAAAATCAATCCTATATTTTCACGGTTTATTTCAAAGTCTTTCTTATTCATTGTGAAAAATATTTTGATTTGATAGTTTCATGGTTTGTTTCAAACTCGTATTATATTTTTATCGCTCGATCTACTTTCGGTATAAATAATTTCAAAATACAAATTGTTTTTCGTTGGTACTTCGTATGTACACACACACGCGCTCGCGCATACACACACACACACACACACACATATGTATACAATATACCAAAAATAGGCATTGCAGTGCAGTTTTTTTTGTCACTTTTAGAGGCGATTATAACCGCCTCTAAAAATTGTAGGGGCGGTTTTATAAACCACCTTAAAACCGTCTCGCAAAGTCGTCGTTCTATAGTGTAGAAGCGGTTTTGGTAACCGACGAGGAATTGTGAGGTGATTTTTTTGAGGCAACTAAAACCGCCTCAAGCCGATTTTTGAGGCGGTTACAACCTCCTTTACAATACCAATGTGTTTTTTTTTTATTTTTTTGATGCGTAATTTTTTAGGCCGTTTACAACCGCCTCTACGTTCTTGAATTTTTTTTAAAAATTAATTAGGGAAATTTCAACCACCTCACCTCAAATTTTAAAATTTATAGAGATGGTTCCGTAACCACATTTAAAATTTTAGTTTTATTCCGTCTTCAAATTCAATTATTTACTTTATTTTTTGGTAAAAAAATAAATTTAAAAAAATTACATCTTGTTGAATGCATATAAAAAAAATTATATAGCTTACACAATATTAAATTTGTAATTATTAAATTCTAAATACATAAAAAAATCTTCAAACATCCATAAGAAAAAAATAAAGTATTAAACACTTGTTCGAAATGCATAAAGAAAGTTTTTGATATGTTTAAAATAAGTAGCTAATGTGTAAAATTCAATATCCTTAAATAGAGATGAAATCTCCTTAGCCGCAAACATTCTTGATAGTGGAGGCAAGGTAAGTAGTGGAGGTAAGGTAAGCTTCAACAATCTCATGCATCTTGATGAGAACCGGAGATGAAATCTCCTTAGCTACAAACTCGTTTCTCTTCACCCTTATAGGTAACCACAATCATTGGCTTGTCACCGGGACCGACAATGACCTTGAATGGCTAGAGCTTAATATACTCTAGACTAAAGCATCGATAAATCTCCTACCAATCAACCTATTTGCATCTACAATACATAACCAAATACCAATTAGTAACAAAATTCATTCAATTAACTTACTAATGACTAAAAATTAAAACTACAAAATTTGCTAAAGATAATAATTAATCTCTAAACAAGTAAAACTTCGTATAAACTACTAAGTAGGAGGCTTGTAATTGAAAAAAAAATACCGGATTTGAAAGCGGTATTCCAAACATCTACCAAAACTAAAATTATACATAGAATTAACATATTGAAACAATATGAAAAATTTGATCCGAAATGCTTGGATCATTCATGATTAAGACCAATAATAACACAAATAGAATGAAGTTAGAATGAATATACTTTAATTCCTCCGATACTAAAAAGCTTGCTCCTGGTCGGTAAACTTTACTAGCTTTTCCTATTTTAACTTGAGATTTTCATAACTAACAATGTGAAAAAAAAAAAATAGGACAAGATTTTCGGTATAGGTGAGAATTTAAAGAAAAAAGTGAAATTGTTTACCAAAAAAAAGTGACTACAAAAGATCATACATAAGACAATGGGAACACATTCACATAATTACATCACATGTCCATGAAAATCAATAGTTAGCAATTAACTACTATCAATCGCCTCTCTTAAATGTGGGAACCGATGTGCCCACCCCGAAAATCTTATAAAAAAAAGTTCAAGTATATCAAATCTAATTATCCAATCAAGAAGAGCTTAGGAAAATTAAATCAATCGGATAGTAAAATAAGGGAAATGGCATAACAAGCAAACACGGATCGGTCGAAACTAGTTGATGCATTTTCAAGTGACAAATACGGACACGAAGTAACAATCTTGAGAAGATCCATTTCTTCTCTAACCAAAGTAGACATACCTTGAAATGAATTGTTGATATGGACAAAAAAAAGCCCCAAAAGATCCCGACATAAATTAAGAAAAACAAGATATGACACTCATATAAACAAGACTATATCATTTATGAGATTATTACATAATTTTTGAAAACCTATCGTTTGAAGAGCTTCTCACTCAAGAATCAACGAGTCTAGGTATGCAATTGAACTTCATAACATTGTTTTTGTCAAGGAAAGTAGGTAAATGAGAAGATAAAAAAAAAAAAAAAAACTTAAGTTTTTGGGGTTGGAGGGGAAGATGAAAAAACCTAATTCTTTGTTATTGATGGAGAAGATGAAAATCCTAATTTCTTTATCAAGGGAAGAGATGGCTTATTATTGAAGGAGAAGATTCAAGGGAAGGGGGTGATTTGTTGTTGAAGGAGAAGATTTAGGGGGACAGTTTGTTGTTGAAGGAGAAGATTCAAGGGAAAGGGAAGGAGAAGATTAAGGGGGAGTGGTTTGTTGTTGAAGGAAAAGATTCAAGGGAAGGGGGTCGTTTGTTGTTGAAGGAGAAGAGATGAAAAATCCGAATTTTGTTTTCAAGGGATGGTGGCGATTGCTAAAGGAGAAGATGAAAAGACTAAAAAACTCTTGTGTTAAGTGAGGGGCGAGAGAGTAAATAGAAAAAAAATGAAGTATTAAAATTTTAAACTTCGGGCGGTTTTAATAACCGCCTCATAATTTTGTCTTAAAAATAACTAAATGTACATAGTCTTTTATTCTTTGAGGCGGTTAAGACAACCGCCTCAATCCTCTATAACATAATTTTGGTGTAGTGATATGTATATAGGTTTTAATTTGCCTTTTTATCTTTCTTTGGGTTTAACATCTTTTTACTTGAAAGTAAGGATAGGCTTTTTTTTTTCATTTTGAATTTCAAATCACTAGACTTTTAGGAATGATTAGTTTCTAATTTACTCATAAACACACCAAAATACATATAGACAATTTTGCATAATTAAAGAAAAAAAAATAGCATGTGATCTAGCCTACTTTATATAGAATATTGAAGAATGATTGTTATATTCGCTTCGTATAACCAATCCTTTACATTTAATATCTATGTAGACTAGTTATTTAGGTTTTCTAATTACCTTATTACTAGACGGCAACTCTCTCTTTTTTTTTTTTTTTTTTTTTTATGTTTTTCCTATCCGTGGTTATCATTCAATGTAACTTTAATTAAAGATGTAACTCATCATAAAATCATATATGTTTTGTCTAAATATTGATTTGTGATTAATTTATGGGAAAATAACTCAATCTATAATAATATTTCAAAAGCTTTCTTAAATATGTCCTATATGTTTGATTGTACTTATTATATCTTTAAACTATTATAAAATCTCTAATACATCCTTTTATTAACATGTTTCATTCCAAATAAAAAATTTTAGTTTGCGGTTTACAAATAAGTTATTAATTTATTTTCTAATATCAAACCATCTTCACTATTTTTTTTTTCAAAAGATTTTAATATTTAAGTCAATTATTTATATGTTTACTAAACGCACAAAAGAAAGCAAATCATTGTTTATGTTTTTAAGGTAGGGACAGATCATAGTTTGAAACCTAAAAGAGAAACTTGTGATTGAACACGCTCAATTTCTCTTGGTTTGAAATATACACTGTTGTAATAGAAGGATCATAAATAATTATGTATTAATTTAAAAACATCAATAAATCATTATCTTACTTGCTCTCCATATGAACATAAATACATGACTGTAAGTAATTGTAATTGAATTTTTTCTTTCGATAATTCTTTGAAAGTTTTGAACTTGGAGTCAGTTTCTAACGTCCCTGGAATTATTCAAAGCAGAGGATTCTATTATTATTAAAAAAAAAAAATTAGAAACAAGAGGGTCTTTTTTTATTCATATCAGATATCACAAATCAATAATTTCATTATTTTAATGATTGCAGCCAAAAAAAAGGTCAAATGTTATTTTTGTTTTTTTGAAGAAGAAAAGTCAAATGTTTTTGGTCCATCGTTTGTTTGGGTATGTAGATATGATTAGACAGCATATCTGCCATTTGAATTTCATGTTGCCGGCGTGGTTGGGTTGGTCAAGGATTGGGAGAAGATTTTTTCTCGTAACATAGAACAGAGCCGTATCTCTACAAATATCAACCAATACCGAAGGGAAAACTTGTTGCATAGACATTACACTTTTTTCACAGATAAACCATTAGATTTATGCATAATAAAATGAATGCGGATTGAGCTCTTTTTCAAATTAGAGATAACTATTTCATTTGAAATCAATGATTATAAATTTCATTTGAACTGTAGAAATTTACTTAACTAATCGCTCACTTTGATACAGAATTTTTGGACACTGCAGTGATTAATTAATAAAGGATGGATTTAGATGGATTCAGAACCATTTTCATGGAGTAGAAGCATTTCAACTGCCTGTCTCATGGTTGGCCTGTCGTCTTTGTCTTCATTTACACATTTTAGAGCCACCATCACCAGAATTTCCATCCTATCTTTATCATATTTGCCCTCCAACTTAGGGTCTATGATCGTTTCTATCCAAAAATTAGAATGCTTTACAGTAGCGTCCTCCATCTTTTCTCTCATCCATGTAACCAACCTTTCGTGCTCTATCTCTATGCCTGGACTCCTTCCTGTAACTATCTCTAACAAAACCATACCATAGCTATAAACATCAACTTTGGAAGTGATTGGCAGATTGAAAACCCACTCTGGAGCCATGTAACCTCTAGTTCCTCTCACCCGTGAGAATCTTGAATTTACACTACTACTGTCTCTTTTTAGAAGGCGAGATAGGCCAAAATCAGAAACCTTCGGCTGATAGTTGGAGTCTAGGAGTATGTTTTGAGGCTTTACATCACAATGCAGAACCCATTCTACGCACTCTTCGTGTAAATAAGCAAGGCCTTTGGCAGTGCCCACTGCAATGTTAAATCGCTTTTCAAAATCAAGTGAATTGATGGAAGACAGATTTTCTGCCAAGGAGCCATGCTCCATGTACTGGTAAACTAAAAGCCTGTTTTTTCCCTCTGCACAATATCCCCACATCTCTATCAAGTTCATGTGATTCAGCTTCCCAATAATGCTAACTTCCGCTCGGAACTCTGCTTCTCCTTGGTTAGCTTCGTTCAGTTGCTTAATTGCTGCAACTCTATGATCTGATAGTACTCCTTTGTATACATTTCCCCCTCCACCTCTTCCAATCCCTTCACTGAAAACTCGAGTTGCCTTTTTTAGCTCAGAAAGTGTGAATTTTCTGAAGCATGTTGTTTCAATACATAAATAACCTTCGCTTTGACTTCGTATCAAGAAAAACCACACAGAGAAAACGACGAGAAACTCAACCCCTCCAATTCCACAAGCAAACCAAATGACAAAATTTAGTGATCCATTTTCAAGGCTTTTTGAGTAAGTTCTGTTCAGCAGTTTTACAACTTCAACAGAACAGTCTAACCTGAATTCTTCAACAGTACTATTGTAGGAGGGACTGGGTTCTGCCACTTTCAAATAGAAGTCTCCTTCAAAATTTGGTGAATTATGCCCATTTAATAGAGCTCTCTTGGGGTAACAATAAGGAATGTTACTTGGATAGTAGCGCTGGCTGAATATTATCTGGAATCCCTTGCAATTGCATATCTGCGAGCATAGCTCCTCACACATCTGCACCGTGTAATTATGAAAGAAGCCATAATCATAGCCAACAAACTCAACTTTAGTTAGTTGAAGATAACCGATCTCATCTCTGCTACAAGAACGATTCAATTCAGGTTCACAACCCAAAGACCAGTCCGAATGATCCCTGACCTTGAATCCTGGAAGACAAGAACATTTCCTGCCAGAACTAGGAACATAATTACACATACTGTTGGGCCCACAAATCCCATGAATCCTACAAGGCTGAGACATGGCTTGCCAAGAAACAATCCATGCGTTGCTCCTATTTTCTCGACTGTATAGTCGAAGATTACCGTCAAAATCCATCTTCAATCTTCTCTGAACCCTCGTTCCGTAATCCTCTGACCGAAAGGTCAAGTCATCAGATGAACTAAATTTGCCAAAAGAATCAAAAAAAGCAATTCTGCTGCTGTTGAAAGTGTTCCTCCCAGCATCCCAGCTCAAAAGCCCTGGGTCTGGCCAGTAAATGCTCGAAGTGTCAGGGCCATCAAAACGAAGATGGAGGACGTTATCACTATCAAAATAGAACTTATGGAATCCCGAAGAATAGTTGCTTCGACTTCTTGAGGAGACAAGCTGGCTGTATTTGGTGAGCGATTGCTGTGGAAGAAGAGTATCAGTAGGAAAATCAAAGCTTTGCCATAGTATCCTAACGCCATAGTCAGTGTCACACAACAAGAGATTACCATTGTCGTGGAGGTGCAAGTTCACTGAGGATTGTGAAACAGTGTTTGTAGCCCAAACTATGGACCGATCAGCATCAGTAATGACAAGATTACCAGAATAAAGTAGGGAGAGCTTCGATTTTTTAGCATTAACTGGCCGGTCGCGGTTAGCCATCCAAACAATGGTGCAGTTGGTGCCACAGGAAGGTTCGTTAAACCATATTGCAAAGCAGTATGCATCGTCACCAACGAGGAAGAATCCAGCAGAGAAAATGCCGCTGGGTGATGTGAACACATCGTTTCTGTTCTCCACTGACAATGATGAGCCTTTGCTTAAAGTATGATCAGATGCGGAAGATATTGAGTATAGAGAGAGCAATAAAACTGAAAAAAGTTGAAGAAGGAACATAAGTGGTGGTATGGACATGGTTTTTTAAGCAATGAATAATATTGGTATTGTGCAAGTTTGAGCTACTTAATAACGTGAGAATTCTTTTACATAACTAATATTAATGATGATGCTAATTAATAATGGCATTAGTATTAGTAGCGTACAAAGTTTAGTATGACTGCGTCCTCACAATAATTTCATCAGTCATTACCTGGTGCTTTTCCATTTTCAGTTGATGCATGCACAGGGACAGGGTCAGCATTAATTTACAAACAAGGAAAAATTAACAATCAACATATTCGATGGACATTTGCAAGTTGGTCAGAGAGCAGTAAGAAAGTAGAACGTTGAATCCGCACAGGCAAACATTTGTCTGATTTAATTAACATAAGCCGCCGGCCATTAATGAAGGAATAAATTTTTCTGTCAAAGTGACGACGACACCATTGAAATCAACAGCTTTCATAAACAGTCACATCAATTTCAACGTAGAATTGAACTGATCAGAACCTTAATTAAGACTAGCTAGTACTGGTTGCTGGGTTCAGAGACGGTCATTAAATTACTCGATAGGCCACTTGAAGCAGAAATTTGTCATACTGAAGGGACAATATATGATCATTTAGCTCGTTGAGAGTGTATTTTGAAGCTATTTTTTGTGGTGCAAATATATAGGCGTTTTGGTATTGAAAATGGGGTAAGCTGGAAGAGGGGGTGCAAAGGTGTTTCTTTTGACATGTTTGAAGTTAGGATGGAAGAGAAAAATAGAGGTTTTGGAAGCTATTTTCTGAGTGAGAGATAATGGAGACAAAAGCTGGAAAAGAAAGGGAAAAAAGTATAGAAAAGAAGAGAAGGTGAATACTGTCTAGCGAAGAGTTGAAACAACGTCGTTTCCCCCTTTACTAGGCTATATTCGTTACTTCCTTTTCTTTTTTCTCTATTGCAGTCCTCATTCTTTTCGTTTATTTTGATCGGCTGCCTTAGTGATATTACATAATTATGTATATATCACTTCTATGGGACACCTTCAATTCAAATTAAAAACAGTACTCTAATATATATATGTCATGGACTGCTATGCTGGTTGTTGAACAATTAGAAACTATTTTCCAAATGCAAAGAAAGCACTATATTTAAGTTATTTGGGCAATTTTAATAATAATAGTGGTAATAAAAGAGTATTGTTGGGATCCATATTTTGCCTATGATTCAAGTCAAAAGTTGTAAAATTTTGATTAATAGCACTTAACAAATTTCAAAGGTTAGGTTGGGCTATAGTTTAGCACATATAATTGTGTTAGTAGGCATGACAAAGGTTCAAACCTGCTAGGTCATACACAAGAAGATGATTTTTTATGAATCTTCTAGCTAGGATGTGTTTTGACCAGATTTGAAAGATAAACCTAGCAAACTATCAACTAGTCAGTATTACCCCTCTTACTGTAATTTTAAGAAAAAAAATAATTAGAGGAGTAAATTAAAGACTAAATATATATATAATGACACCATGCATCTTTTTTTTTTTTTTCCCCTGTTCTATTCTTTTCTTTTCGTCCTCTTTCTTTTTATTTTCTTTTAGCTTTGCCCAATTTTTTTCAGCTGTTTTTCTTCTAGTTTTTTTTTCTTCATTTTTTTTTTGTTTACCCTAGGCTTTCTTTCAGTTCTTGTTCTTCTGACTTTCCTCGTTTTTTTTTTCTATTGTTTTTCTTATGGTTTTTTTTTTCACTATTTCTTCTTTTTCTTTTTCAAATACTTTCTCGAAAATTAAGGAAAAAAAACACTACTATGCTTTAAACAACATGAAAATTTATAAAATAACTACAAATCCTAAAGATATAATTTTATGCATTTATAAAATAACTACTATGCTTTGATGTCTTAGCTTTTGAGGTGTGACGTATATTTTCCTTGACACACAAAAGCATAGTATGAGTATTTGAAAGACACAATATTTTCACAGGAGAATTAATTACCAGTGATTATTGGGTTTGAACATGAAGCGTGCCTTTACTAAAAGAAGTATCATGTTTATCGATTTGACTTTAGAACTAATATAGAGCTTAATAGCAAAATACTACCTACCATTTATATTCAAAATTATGCAAGAATGGGCATCTAATCTTGATCAAGTTAAGAGAGATGATCCATTCAAGTTTTTTTTTTTTTTTTTTTTTGCCTCAACATGAGATACGATAGTACTGTCGATGTTAACCCCTGCGAGGGGGTCGAACATGGAGTTGCTATCTAGCTAATTGAGGAGAACTACAAAACTCTAAACATATTGGTCCGTAAAATATCTAAGTAAGGGGTCAATATGTATGGAAAAGATATAATATCATCGTCATTCCGTCTTATTAAGGTAGATTGCATTATTTGCGTATGAATATAAAAATCTGATTTTTTTACTATGTTACATTTCTATGCCTATTTAAATGAATTTATTTTGAAAAAAATATATAAAAATAGGGTAGTTTGAAGGTTTGAATAGAAAACATGGTATTTTGGAGGTTCCGGTCGGTCTAAGGCTAATACCTCCTATCTAAAGGGAGAATGTGAGAAAAGTTGAAATTTTGAATAGTCATTAGTGAATACCACTATTATCAATAAATATGTGAGTTTCTAAAGATTGATAGCCTTTTATTGATAGGAGCAGCGAGTCATCGACAACTTCACTTACACAAGTGGGAAGCTATCGATGATTTCAAGTCATGAGTTTGAGAAGCTAACGACAACTTTATCACATAAATAAAAAGTTACCAACCACTTTATTTGGCTCAAGCAAGGAGCAAGTAAATGTTTTGGAAGCCATTGGCGGCTTCATCACATAAGTGAAAAGCTACTAGTGGCTTATTTTCAAATAAGTAGACATTATATAAAAATTGTTTCAAAACCATTGGCGGCTTCGTCACATAAGTGGAAAGCCATTGGTGACTTCTTTTTTAAACAAGCATACATTAGATAAAAATTATTTCAAAACCACCGATGACTTCGTCACATAAGTGTGAAGTCACTAGTGGCTTCATTTTCACAATTCAAAATTAGGCAAAAGGAAACAAGAAACATGAGTAGGAAACAGGAAACATAAAATAGAAAACGAGACAAAAAAATTTTAAACCACTGGCGGCTTCATCACATAAATGGGAAGCCATTGGTGGCTTCACTTCAGCATTGCCATCGGACACAATTAATCAATCAACCATAGGAACAAGCACAAACTTTACATTTAGACATGTAGGTGTAAAATAGTAAATAGTGTAGTTTGTCCTTTAATGGCCATTACAACAATTTTGCTTCAACCCTATTTAAAAAGTGAGTATTTAAAAAAAATGCAATGGTTTCATTCACATTTTCAAATAATCTAGTCATTTTTAACCCTCATTTTTAAAGAGCATAGTGGTTTTAGAATTTTTATCCAAAGGTTTTGTAACTCGGGTATCCGATTTGAAGTCGGTTTTACTCTATTTGAGAATTGGTTATTCAATTAGCTAGAAAAGGAGAGCAATTGCTTTTTAAAAAACATGATGTGGATCCCATTAGAATGATGAAAAACCTCTCTAAAATTGGTACAAATGGTCAAGGTTACTATTATCGTAAACTTGTAAAGTTGTTGTAAATGTACAAAATTATCAACAAAGTTGGTGTTGTATTTTTCCTCCTCATGAATAATGTAAAAAACCCCGATTCTCCCATAGGATTAGGCAACTATTCACTTAGCTTATTGACATAATCAAGTATGCGATCTTATGTTTGATTCTGTTTAAGTTGGTTCCGTATCCATACGACCGCCACCTCACGAATGGGGCACATTCCATCATGAAAACCATCAAATGCCTTTCGAGCATTTTTATTCACAAAAATCTCAATGCCCATAATTATATGTCGAGTCCCGTTACATGTGCATGAACTAATTTGTGAGTAATTTTCTTATGGTTGGTCTTTTGCTAAAAGCATCTTAATTATGGTTTCTCCATATTGGGCAACAACGACTTTACAATCTCAACTAACAACTCCTCCGGCTCAAATGGCATAATTTACTTTAGTAATAATAGTGGTAGGACCAACTAACAAAGAGGTTCAAGAATTAACAATTGTTGCATAACCATTGACACAAAATCCAATTGTTTGACCATCAATCAATGTAATCAAACTGCTAACATCCTCTCCATGTCACGGGGATATATATGTGCTCACCCTTGTAATGCTTATGATCTATCCCACCAAAAGTAATTTTACTTCCTTCTTTATCATCATCATCATCTCTTTTTCTTCTTCTTCTTGCATAGATGGTGATGAGGATGGCACTACTATATGTAAAGGAGAGATCTTTTAGGCTCTTTTAGTTGGTTCTTTTATGATTATGGTTTTGGTGGCTAAAAAAAAAAAAAAAAGAGGATTTAAAGTGAGTGTTGGAAGTAGTTTGTGTTAAGGATTTGGAGATACAATTGGGGGAGAGAAGTAGTGCCATGGTTAAAGTAGAGAGAATGCATATGATAAAAAGGTGATGATGAAGGATAATACGCATGTGATTTTTTTTTTTGTTTAGGATTTTATAACATAATGGTAAAAGTGAAGGACTATGCACCCTCCGAAGGTGCAAAATAAAATAAAAAAATTTCTCCATCTAAAGAGTCTAAGATCAAGTCGTTGAATCAAATAACCATATAGTCATGAATTAAAGCATTAAATAAAAAATTAATTCTTATAGTGCATATTTAAACCCTTACGAAATGAAGCCATCTAAGTGTTCGAACTTTATTGATAATTTATACAATTCAAGCACCCATAAAAGAAGCACTCAAAATTGGTAAAATACTAGCTCCATCATTTTTTACTTGTTTAGTGTTTTTTTCTTTTGAAATCTAATCTGGGTAATTTTACAATAACCCTAAGAGAAGAAAGAAAGGTGGCCTAATTTTTAGGAAAGGAAGAAAACTATTTTCTCGTTATTTTTCTTAGTGTCGTGTAGTCTTAATTTTTCTCTCTTGGTTGTGTGTCTCTCTCTCTATGATTTTTCTTCTTACCGTACTTCTCATCCTATTTATATGGGAGAGTTTTCCTTATCCTCTAAGGATAAAGAGGGGTAGAAACTAGTTTTAAAAAGGACTTTTAGTTGCTTTCTAATCCTCCAAAGAGTAACGGTTATTATGCATGTGGGCTTTTTGATCTTATTCTTTAAAATATTTATTCTTATCTAATAAGGTTTATGTTTATCCTCTTATCAAAATACCTTTCAAGTTTTTAATTAAACTTATTGGCCCAAACTATTTTAGCTTAATTAATTAATTTGCACTATCCAAATAAATTAAGTTAGATAATTTTAGGAGGCCCACATTAGAAAATTTTTTAGGAAACTAATTTCTTTTTAGATTATTTATTTTCAAAATTTGGATCTAACTTCCAAATTAGAAAACTAATTTTTAAAGTAGAAAACTTTTCATTTTAGGAAACTTTTTATTTTCAAAAACCTTTTTCAAAATAGAAAACTTTTTCCAACATCTTTACTTTTCTTTTACTATGTGAATGCTTAAACTTTTGTGTGTGTGTGTGTGACTCAATAGACTCCTAGATATGTTGGCAATGTATCAAGAATAAAAGGTACATCTTTTATCTCTTGATACATAAATCAAAATTGGTCTCTAACAAGGCATCATGACTACCTAATTCTCTAGGAGGATTAATTAATCCACAATTATCTTTCATAAGCATTGTTATCATACAATTCAATCCTTATGTCAACTTATTATAGTATGATCTTGAACTTGGTTATTAGTCTTTTTTTATTATGATCACACATGTTTTCTTCGATTCTTAAATGTCTTAACTCTTAGAGTAAATCAACTATGCTTTATTGGTGCATTCTTATCATGGTCATAAATTTCTTGAATAGACATTTATTGAAATATGATGTGATAACTCTTTTACTATAAAATGAATGACATATTCTATCTTAGTCATCCACCCAGTTCTATTAGATTCCTAGTGCACCTAACAAATCATCCATGTGCAACGCTTTATTGGGTCTATCAAAATGAGTGTCAAAGTGCATAAATCCTTCAATGAGATAACCATGATGAATTTAAGTCTAAGGATCAATTATGCCCATCTCGTATGAAATTCTCATGACTAAACCAAATGGGTTCTCATGACAAGTCAAGTCCGAGTGATATGTTTTTTAATATAAATTAATTAAGTGCTTACTTTTGTATTATCATACCAATAAGTGTGAGATCTCTTACTACTATCATATAGCATGAGAATAGCATTCACAACTCTAACCGTATCTAGTCAATGTCCATTCTTGGCAATGCTATGATTTGAAACATTTAATGATATCATTTATGTATATTAGTATTTGTCTCACATCTTTCGATCAATCACTAATGTAAATGCATATCATGTAAACTTTTATCTAATTCTAATCAATGAATAAATATAAGACATAAGAATTAATAAAAAGAATTCTTTTTATTAATAAATAAAATAAGTAATGTAAGAATATAATAACTCAAATCTATCCAAATATGGTTGGATTTTACGCACCTACACTAATAGAGAGTATTAGGAAGTAATAAAGTTTACAAAGAGGGATGTTGGGGATGTATTGAAAACCAAAACAAGCCGAGCAACTACTATTTTTTTCCCTTAGATTTGAGAGTTTTTATACTTTCCGGAGGTAGGGATGGTGGGTCGTTGAAAGTGAGGGGAGGAGAAAATATGGCCACCTCCTCGCTCTTTTTGTTATTATAGTTATATATAGGGAAGAGCATGAAGGGTCAGTAGTTGGGAGATAGTTAGGCTATGAGGCTACTTCGGACTAGAGCAAAGAGGTGGTTAGGTCGCGATGTTGCTTGATCTGGAGTAAGAAGGTGGCTGGTTGTGGGAGCTGCTTAGGTTTAGAGCAAAGAGATGATTGATTACGATGCTATTTTGGACCGGAGCGAGGGGTTGGGTCGGTCGAGTTGCTATAGTGGAGAAGGTTGTTTGGTGAGCAAAAGGTCGTTGCACGAGGGTTGGTTGGAAGTGGATGTGCATGCTAAGCGTGGCCTACTAGCGGTAGCTTATGTGTTGTGTTGTGTGCTAAGCGTGAGTGCTACTTCTTGCTCGGGTGTGGCCTACTCGTATAAGGAGGGGCTACTATGTGGAGGAGAAGCTAGAGCTTAGGTGTTGCAAGAGTTATGAGGAGTAGGCTGCTATATGAGGGTGAAGCTAGAGCGGTGGCTAAAGCAAATGGAGAGTTGTAGGCAAGAGAGCATGTTTGTAAGGTAAGGAAGGAGAGGAGGAGCTTACGAGTTGAAGGTTAGGGAGGCTATATGGTATGAGCGAGAGGGAGTTATAAGTGATGGAGGTTTAAGTTGTAATCAAGGGAGAGGCGAGTTGGATACAAGAAGGTGATAATAAATAGTTAAATGTATCCAAAAAAAAAAAATGTAAGGGTTTTACTAGTATTTTCTACGTTTTTTGGAAAAATTTTATTTTCGTCTCTAATTCTCCATAATCCTTTGATTGAAGTGTAATTTTAATTATTTTTTTCAATGAGACTCTTAAATCTCAATTCGTTAGGACTTTTCTTTTTATTCCTTCCAATTGTGCCCTTTTTTTATTTTAATTAAAGGATAAAAGTTTTGATTTTTTTAATTGTACCCTTAATTGTATTTTTTTTAATTTTCTAACTTTTTTCTTTCTTTGTTTTTTTTTTTTTAATTAGCCTCCTTCTAGAACTAACCTAAGCTAATCATTCTAATTGATTTTTTTTCCTACTTTTCTTTTAGCATTTTTGTTTTGTTTATCATTGTTGGGTATTTTTGCAATAAAAAGTATATAAAAAAAGAATAACGGGAGAAAAATTTGAGTGCTAATAATTGTTCCTTTTTTACAATGGTCATGATGAAAAGTCATTACAAAAACATTTTTCTTTGGTTTTGGACTATAAGCTTTGAAAGAAATAAATTTTTTTTTTTTGAAAGACGGCCACGAGAATCTTAAAATTCGAGAAGATGTGATTGGACACATCAAATTAAAAAGAGCATAATTGGTCGTGCAAAATTGAAAAGGGCACGACTAGCCATGCCAAATTGAAATTTTGAAATAACGTGATTGATCGTGTCAAATTAAAATTTGAAAAGACATAATTAGTTGTTTTAAATTGAAATGGGATGGATCGGCCGTGCCAAATTAAAATTTTAAAAAGAAATGACTCGTCAACATCAAGTTAAAAAGACACTACTCGGTCATGTCAAATTAAAATTTAAAAAGACGTGATCGACCATGTCAAATTGAAAAAGGCATTGCTTGGTTGTGCTAAATTGAAAAGGACGTGATCGGCCACGTCAAATTGAATTTTGAAAAGACGTGACTAGTTATGCTAAGTTGAAGGGATGTGACTAGCCACGTCAAATTAAAAAGGCATGACTAGCTATGCCAAATTGAAAAGGGCATAATCGGGCACCCTAAATTGATAATGGCATAATTAGTCATTCCAATTGAAATTTTAAAAAGATGTGACTAGTCATGTTAAGTTGAAAGAACGTGATCTGGTTGTGTCAAATTAAAATTTGAAAAACATGACTAGCCACATCAAATCGAAAAGGATATGACTAGTCATCTCAAATAAAAAAGGATGCGATTGGCCATGCCAAATTAAAATTTTGAAAAGACATGGTTGGCCATGTCATGTTGAAAAAATATGACTAGCTACGTCAAATTGAAATTTGAAAAGATGTGGTCGGTCACATCAAATTAAAAAAGGCACGACCGACCATGCCAAATTGAAAAGAGCGCGACTAGCCATTTCAAATTAAAATTTTGAAAAGATGTGATTGGCCACGTCAAGTTGAAAAGATGCAACTGGGCATGTCAAGTTGAAATTTGAAATGACGTGACTAGCCAAGTCAAATTGAAAAGGGCATGATCGACTATGTTAAATTAAAATTTTGAAAAGATGTGACTAGCTATGTCGAGTGGAAAGGACACGACTTGTTACATCAAATTAAATTTTGAAAAAACATGATTGGCCACGTCAAATTGAAAAGGACACAACTAAGCATGCTAAATTGAAAAGTACACAACTAACCATGCTAAATTGAAAAGGGCATGACTAGCCACACCAAATTGAAATTTTGAAAATACATGACTAGTCACATTAAGTTGAAAGGATCCGACTGGTTGTATTAAATTGAAATTTGAAAAGATGTCACTAGCCACGTCAAATTAAAAAAGACACGACTAGCCTTTTCGAATTAAAATTTGGAGAGATGTGACTAACCATGCCAAATTAAAAATGGCACGATTGGCCACTCCAAATTGAAATTTTGAAAGGATGTAACTGGCCATGTAAAATTAAAAAGGATGCGACTAGCCATGTTAAATTGAAATTTAAAAAGACGTGATTGACCACGTCAAATTAAAAAGGGCACGACTAGCTATGCTAAATTGAAAAGGGCATGATTACCATGCCAAATTGAAAATTTGAAAATATGTGACTTGCCACGTCTAGTTGAAAGGATGCAAATGGTCGTGTTAATTCTTTTAAGACATGACTCGAGCATGTTGACTTCGATAAGATGTGATTGGCCATATCGATTTTGACAAGATGTAATCGACAATATTGATTTTGATAGGACGTGACTCGGTCTTGTCAAGTTAAAAGGACACAACTTGCCATGTCAAATTGAAATTTGAAAAAAACATGACTTGGTCACATCAAATTGAATAGAGCACGAGTGGCCATGCTAAATTGAAACAGACTAGCCATGCCAAATTGAAATCTTTATAAGATAGACCGACTACTTCATGTTGAACGATTGACCATATTGATTTTGTTAATACTTGATTGGACTCATCAATTTTGATAAGATATGATGACCATATTGATTTTGACGAGGATGTGACTGGCCATATCAGATTTGGTAGGATGTGACTACTCACGTTGGCTTTGATAGGACATGATTGGGCACGTCCTTTTTGAGGAACATGATTGGCAAACTTTTTGATAATGTATGACTAACTATTCTAAATTAGATTAACACGAGTTTTTGGAGAAACATAGGTTGACATTTCTAAAACATAGGTTTTTCCTCTTTTTTCTTCATTTGTGTGTCGTTTAGATTGAATGGGTTCAAAGTTATAGGCCAATTGTTTTTATTAAGTTTGTCTATTTCTATTCTTGATTATGCTTCTTGTTCTTGTTTTCATTGGGATGGCTATTTGGACCATGGTCCGTGTCATTTGAATGGTGTTTATTCCTCCGACTAACTAGGTGATCACTATTTTTTGTGCCCCTCATTTGTTACTACCCCTAAATGTTCGGACTTCTGCTAGCACATATCAAGAATACGGCTTTAAAAATTATTGAGGTGGCTTTTTGTCAACTCGTATATAATTTGTCATGAGGAAGCTTATAATAGATTCCATAGAGGTCGACCTCTTGGATAACAATTTCAAGAAAGATCCTTATCCAGTTATCATATGCCAATTCGGTGTATTATCATATTTCATAAATGACTTCAATTACAAGATCGTGTATGAGACCAAGGAAAGGTTTCTCTTTTTAGGAATTGATCATACTTGTGAAAACAAGGGTTCTTTGAGAGATGAAAGATTATGAATCATATTATATTAGGGCAAGATGAATCAAGAATAGAAAAAGCAAAGTCAAATGATCGCACTAGTGAATATTTGACCATAACTTAGGTTATCTCCTTATTGTTCCGGATAGGAGGGAGATTGAAATGTCCGATCCTTTAATGCCGACATAGATTTATGACCATTACGAACATAACATATTTACGAAACATTAGTATCGATCATCCATTTATCATCTATGTTTCATTGTTATTGCTCTTTTCGTTTGTTTTCTTTTGATGCTTGCACTTGATTATGTGAACTCGTCTTGAAGAGATTTTTTTTAATTTTCAAAAAATCATTTTCATTTATTGTAACTTTCATGGATTAGGTCTGTCTATTTGAAAATTTTCCATCAAGAGAAGTTGAATTATTCAAGAGAAATCATTAAGATGTTCATAAGAAAGTAATCTCATTCAAAAAAATGTTTAACTTATTGATCACAAGCCAAAACACATCGTGCAATGTCTTATGGTGATCCATTTTGAGGCTAAGATGAGCAAAATGTGTTTAGATCATAAAGGTTTTGAAAAGGATTAGTCTCTTCGATACGTGATTGATAAAAGTTTAGTCCTAGAGCATGGTGTGCTCGGATGAATTTTAGAAACTAAAAGAGTTTTAAAGAAAGTTTAACTCATATGGATGGTCTTGCCTAGAAAAGGTCAATCTATTTCTTTCTTGTCCCTAGTTAGTTGTTGAAAATTTATGATTCAATGTCATAAATAATGGTTTGTAACATAACAAACAAGTCGAGTTTTATAAAAAAATATTTTTTCTTCTTCTTATTTAAATTTAGAATTCATTAGTATAAACAAGTCATCTTTGATCGAAAGGGCTTTCATAGGCATGTAATGAAGGTTAAGGTTTTAGATTATGAACAAAAGGATATAAAGGCCTAAAAAGTGCTTGAGGGTGTAAAGACTTATGATCATGTAGTTGTTCTTCGAGATTACTTAAGCCATGCCAATTTGATTTTGTCATCTCGCCAATTGATCTCATCTTCTAATCTCAACTCTTTTTTCATGTTCGGTCTTGTCATTTTTGGCTTAAGGATTTCTAACCCTAGCATTTTTAACCCTTTCTAATTTTAAATCATGAGAGGGATCACTCTAGATAACACTCTCTTTTGTCTTAGTGCTTTTTTTTTTTTTTTTTTTCATTTCTCTTCGTTTTTTTTTTAAAGTTGTTCAAGGGTTTTCTCAACAAGTTTTTTTTTTTTTTTTTTTGTGAAAACTTATCATCATTTATCATCTTATTTTTCTAGTAAAACATCCTTAAATACTAATGAACTTCAAAATTACCCACAACGTGAGGGGTGATCCTACTCTAGGTCATTGTTGAAAAAAATCCTTTAGACTAAAAGTTGGATAGGAAGGAATAAGTTTTTGTTTTGAAAAAATATACCAAAATGGTCTTTGACCATCCCAACTCTAATCTTGTTCCAGCCAATAAGTTCTAATTTCATTTAAAAACTATGATTGACTTTTAGAGAGGAAGTGATGGATAAGGTGGGCTTATGACCCGAATGTGTACCACTCATC